TTTTACTGCCTGCAGGCTGCTTCTAGTTTATGACCAACGGTTCTTTCACATGGTAGTCTTATTGACATTTGAAGCACGCACATGCCATTGCCATTTCTGGAACGTGAGCACGTTGGTGGGTGTTTGCCTTCCAACTTCAAAATCTGCTGTAGCTAACTGTGAGCAAATGCATTTATAAAAGAAGGACAGGGTGAATCCTTCTTTGTGTCAACTTGAAATGGATTTGTGTCTCAGGAGATGTCTCATCACACCCAGTCTGTTTTCTGAGCCTATGACCAGCAACAGTGCTCAGCTTTCTTCACAACTCCCCCCTTTCTGCTCTGACCTCAGCCAGCTCATCAACAGGGGTCTCTTTTATCTCTCAGGAAAACAGGTGGTTCTGATTGTTAGTCAGTGTGCATACGATGAGGAAGCTTCTGCCTCCATGTGTTTTCTATTTGGAATGTTGCATTTGCTAACTCAGGTTTGGGAGGGACGCAGCAGATATTTTTGGTTACGCCTACACACTGCTCAAAACACCACCACCCACTCCTCACTGCTCAGCTGTTTCAGGTCATTCCACAGTAAGGGCTATGTGCCACTCGGACTTTATCCCATGAGGGACTGTTGTTGCACACATCCACATGGCTGACTGCTGTGGTTGAAAAAGTATATTACAAAAAGGGTGTGGTTTTGTACAAATAATTACACAACTCTTAGTAAGGCGTGTCGCAATTTCCAGTTTATTTTGCACAATTCTGGCAGATCTTTTGTTTGTAAATGGATATTTCTTGTATAATACTTTTTATAATAGTTTTATATTTACTGTGTTTATGTATGCACCGCTTTATACAGTACCAAAGCAAATCAGGGTATTGGGCAAAAACCCTTATTTTGATTCTGATAAGCACCAACAAGCCCATAACTGTCAAATTCCTTCCTGCTGTCATATCTAAACTGAGACCAAAATGACAGATATGATAAAATGTGTGTTTCGCCCCTGACATCGCTCACTCAGAGGTGCCTCAAGGGAAGAACTCCTGACTTGTAACAAACAAATTCTCAGCAGCAATGGACTCTTTCTTCGCTTGTCTTTCTCTGTTTTACTCTGCCATTTACTGTCTCTTCAGTAAAATGTCAGACTGTATGTGACTCGCCCACAGGGGCCATAGATGCCATTCAACCAGTGCTCCAAACATTTGCTCACAAGCTTTGAGCGGGGAGGGAAACATCTGACAACATGCACCTCCTAGAGGAGCCACTATCTGCTGTTATCTGGGGGCACACCGACTCCTGCCATACCAATCAGTTATGTCACACATGCAAAACAATACCAGAAATGCAGATTTAGAAAAATGTTGTAAAAAGTCTGCCGGGTAACGTCAACCCACTGAGCTCCTCAGTGATGTGTGGGTTAGCGGATGTTCAAAGCTCTGAAGTGAGGAAATGACTTATCAGCAGAAACACAGGGGAGGCTCAACAACACTGTAGCAGACAGCTCTTAGCATTATCTTATCCATTAGGATAAAGAGAGCTGACAGCCATGAGTGAAAACAGAGATAATGCCAGGTCATAAAAATGTCAATTGTCAAGGAAGCAAAATCAATTTACACACTTCAGCAAGTGTGAAAAGCTGACAAATCAAGGCTGAATGTAATAAGTCTGTTTTTCAGGTATTCATTGTGATAAAAATGATAAAGTTGTATGTTGTTGGCCCACATAATACAAAAAAATGCAGCAATTTAAGGTCTGAAATGTATGTCCAAAGGTGTTTCGTATGGGAGCATGGATCTCAAAGTTAATAGCTGCGCAGTGCTTATCCACTCTGAGCATCTTCCATGCTCCCATATAGCTTGGCAGGAGGGTTCCGGCTCGCTAAGTGCAGACAACTTTCTTTGGAATATTCTAAGTGAAATGGCTCAGGTGAAGCCAACAATGGAAAATGTCAATGCATTCCATTAGATCAGATTGTGAAGTCTTGCTCTCCTCTTCACTCGGCCGACAGATGACAGGGCTGATATCTGCAGCTCTGTTCAGTTGGGCTGGGTGCAGCCTTCACCTAAAATGGCTGGCCATTTAGATGATGGCTACCAAAGAATATCATGAATTGAAAATAAGAAGCACATCTCTCAGACGCAGTAACAACAACACAAGAGTTTGACCTACAGAATAAGAAGCAAATCGCACACTTCCTCTGAATGTATTACTTGCTTTTGTGAACAAACAAAAGCTGAATTTGGAGCAGAGCTTTTACAAGTACACATTTTTATCACAGTCAGCACAAAGTAGCAATTTATAAAATGGGCTTGTGGGAAGGTTTAGTTATGCCAGATTCCTCCTGTTTCTAAAGAAAGTGTCGGCATTGGCTGGCAGCCAGTCGGCCACATGGCTAAGCCCTGTCCAGGCAAGACAAAAGAAATTCTTAAATCTTCGCCAGTTCACTAACCCCCCCAACCCCCCGAAAATGGCAATTGTGCTGCTACAACACCATGTCACATCATTAAAAGGACTGACTTTGAAATGTATCGCTTGAAAAATATAAACCTGCACAAAGCTTGGAGGTGCGTCATGAGGGACAGTTGGAGGTACAGCAACAGATTTCAAACAAACTGCTATACCTAATTAAAGTTAAGAGAATAAGCCAATTGACACACGTGAGAGATAACAGGAAGATGTGTGTATGTACTGCTCTTTGATCTGAATTCCTGTCCTCTCACACCTTGCTACCTCCAATTGAAAACGAGAGAAACAAATCCACGCACAAAAGCCCAGTTATGCATGCATACACAGGAAAAGAGTACGGAGTTCTCAAATGCATTTAGTAACATTTTTAAGGGTAAAATGTTTCTCAAAAACATTGGTTACACAATTAAACATACTATCATCTTACATTTTAAAACGCATAGGCCAGTCCAACCACATCTCATGCCCCAGTTATGATCTTTAGTATTTTTCAAAGTGATTTCCCACATTTAAGCAGTACTTCAGTACTTCAGTACTTGCCACAACAAGTGGCAGAGATAAAATATGTAGGCCTATAGCTTTACTGTAATAGCCAGGCTCGAAGCAAAGAGCAAAAAGGAGTAACAATCTTGATTTGTCAAACAAAAAATCGCTACATAACAGCAACAAGTGGCTTTTTGCTTTTCTACAAGTGTGATTTAAATCGGAGAAGTTCATATGTGTTCTTTTGTTAGTTTCATATACAATTTGTTGCCTAAATAGTTGTATAACTTTGCTATTCATCCATTTAACATCAAAACACCTATAGGCTTGGCTAACTTGATATTTTCGGCTCACGTGTTCAAAAAATGAACTGCTACAATCTTACAGGTGTTTATCGCTTCCACCTTCAGGACTGATGGCAGAGGTTAAGGGGTCTTTAATGGTGGGATACTGAAAATAATTGATTAGTCCGCAGGCTTTTGGTGCCCAGCAGCTCAGCTCGGTGCGGTTTGAACGGGTCCACAGCGGCGGGAGGGGGCAGAGGACCCTCGCTGCACGGCTGGCTGACTCCTCCCGCGGACAGCCTGCTTTATTCCGCCGCAGGAAAAACCGTTATCTCGCATCACTACTTTCTACATCTCTGCCATCACCGCGGCTCCAAACCCCACGTTAAATAGTTAACAACACGGAGTACCAAGCTGCCGTATTTAATTGACAAAGTCAAACTTCAGAGGTTAAAACTTTTGAGGACGACGTGGTGGTTTGCCCAGTCTCTAAACATGCCGCTAATTGAAGCTAAACAGTTGTCTCAGTTAGTCATGCTAAGCTAATGTGTGGCAACATCCATACACTTTACATGAGCCTCACTACTCCCATTAAAACATGAGTGAGAGAAAGCCTCTGCAACAATAGTCGCTTAAAAATAGAACTCGTCCTGTAAAAGTGAACGGCCATGTTGACAGTAATGTATTAAAAGGGTGACTCTTTCGAATTTTCGTTAATACTATTTGTAACTATATTTACTTAACGTCGAATAAACAGGTCCTGCTGTCAGTTTGAGTTTAACGTTAGTTGCGTCCAGATAGGGTTACTTCTCAGGCTATTTTCTGCCTGTCGCTGGTGGAAAATATCGAGCAAACAGAGCCAGAAGTAAACAACATTTGCCGGACATGTTCCTGGAAGAGTAAATGGTTTAATAAGTTATATAGTTAGCGTGGTTTTTGTACTTACAGTGAGTTGAGAGGAGAGTCAGGAGACAAGCCAGACGTGTTTTCGCCATCTTGGAGTCGATGCAATGCTCGCTTTGACTGGCCGTACATGCGCAAAGTAACCGAAAGAGCTTTGGTGTGGATGGAGAAAGGGAGGGTGGGAGGGAGAGAGACATAGGCAGCGAGTGGGGGGAGGGGGCATTACGATAGGTTTCCATAGCTACCGAAAGCATCACTCACACAGACACACATTTATAGTTGACACGATGAAGGAGCATTTTACTACCGTGGCAATATGGAGACGGCTGAGAGATCAGATAGAAAAACACAAGCTTCTGTGTGCTGGAAGGTGGTACTCAGATCTTGTACTTAAGTAAAATACCAGTGTGTAGGAAATAGGAATACTCAGACTGACACAAGTAAAAGTCCTGCAATCAAAATGTAGAAAAGTATTCACATCAAAATATGTTTTGATTATAATTATTGATGCACAAAGTGTTATCAAAGCTGGTAAAAGTGCAGCTAACTTTAATGACCTTGTATACTGCAGGGCAGCTTGTAAATGTAAGGGTTTATTATATATCACAGCATTAATCTAAATTTGTAAAGTCACTAAAGGTATTAAATATATGTAGTGGAACAAAAGTACACAAAGAAGAAGAAGAAGAAGACACACTTTATTGATCCCACAAGGCGAAATTCAGTTTCCCCTATGTAAGGATGTTCAGTATACACACATGCAAACAGGACATACAGTACATAAAGGCTGAAAAACTCACATTGCTAAATTTTAAATGGGAAGGTGTCAATAACCTAACGTCCACACGGTTCCGTCACGTGCTTCAACGGAGCACTTTGAATGGGGTGACGTCAAGCTTTGCCGAACTGCATTGTAGTTCCGTCGCGTCGCTTTGCCTCCGTTGCTCGTGCTGAAAGTTGAGAAAATTTCAACTTTTCAGGCGTAGACGGAAACGCCAGCTAATCAAATCATATGCCAGTACAAGCGCTAGCCAATCAAACCGTGTGCTTGTGTGTCCGGGGCAGGAGATTAATGTGATTGGTTGTTGGTCGCGCGCCAGACACACCCAGCGGCAAGCTTCAACACGACGGAATCGTGTGGACGCACCGTATAGGGGCTGCATGTTAGGGGTCCAATGCCTCTGCATGGCCCAGGATGGGCCCCTCCTGCTACCACACCAACCCATCTTTTTGTATGGTCCACACTGGCATTCGAACCAATAGGCGCTTTCACATCGGAGTACTTTTCCCCTTACTTTTCCCGTTTAGTTCCGATAGTTCCTGGGATTTTGCGTTCACACCAAAAAGAGAACTTAGTTCATGAGAACTTTTACACCCTTTTTAGTGCATGCTAGAGAGGTGGTACCTACTTTCCTGGGGAGAATAAAGTTCCAATTTCTGATTCGCTGGGCGAATTGCAAACCACGCCCCGTAAAACTCGGAAACGATTTTTGAGGCCGTCATTGTATTTGCTGGCATTAGCATTATTAGCATTAGCCCCGCGCACCAACGGAGAGAGAATAACTTGGGAGCGGCGGAGTGATGAGGAGGTGTCGGCGTTCTGGCGATTTACTCGGAAGAACGAGTAAATCGTTGTCCCAACTCCGGGGACTTCCGGCCAGGGACTTCGGGTGGCAGTATACGGCGTGAAGTTGTTTGCGGCCTGCCAGTAAACCCAAAGCAGAAGAAGAAGAAGTGACGTCAGCGGCTTCATTTGCGTAATCTTCCCTCAGGGAACTTATTCCGGTGTGAACACGGTCGGCTCTTAGTTCCATGGGGGTACTAAGTGCCGGGAACTAAGTGCTGGGAACTAAGTACAGCGGCTAATGACTATCTTTTTCCGAAGCAAAGTCCCTACACACTGAGCTACTGCGACCCATTAAAGCTATTAGTTAGGCTTCAATAGTGTCACTATCAATCCATCGTTGAACAGTGCGTGGCCACTGGTTTATGTCTTTTCATGAAAATAAAAACGTGAATCCATAATTATAACTCGTGCCACACATGTTGGGCTATTTGAGCTTCCATAGAAATGTATGTAAAGTAAAAAAAGTTGAGCTGGCAGCCTGTGATCAATTGCATACGGCAGGCTTTCAATAAATGATATTCACATGCCATTTTTCACTGACTGTAAATCATAGCCGTCAGGCACTGAAGGCATATGTTGAAAACAGTGACAGGCTCTTCAGCCGTATCAGCCTGGAGCTCTCTTACCCTATTCACATGAATCCTGTAAATGCCTGTTTATGTCATAGTGGATATGGCCTGCTCTCCTGTTCATGTGACATGCATTGCTTTGATCAAGAAATATTCCTCTGTTTTAACCTCTTCAAACTGTTTTAAAGTTATACATGTATGTAGGGCAGAAAGGTATAATGTGACTGCATTTACGAAATAAAATCTGACGTGATTGCAATATGAATACTTTATTAATGTGATAATTATGTCTAAAAATAGAACTATGTCTAATTATGCTAGCATGTGTTTTGCATCTATTACGTAAAACACTCAATTCAAGCGAGATTCTAATGTGAATCAGGTGCAGTTATTTTAACCGCACTGTTGCCCTGAGGCTGTGCTCTCTAGGTTTCCATTACAAGTCCTTCTGTGGCAGTCTTTTATGTGTCACAATGTTAAGTGTTTATTTGGTGAGCTGTTTTTAATACCTTCAGAAATTACAACCAGTTTTTTTTAATATATTTTAAATCATGCCACCTTGATTTTCTATGCGAAGACAAAGTGTTATGTTATTATGAAATTGCCCCTTCAACAATGTTAATGCAAAGAAACAATATGATCTAAATCTGAACATATAATTACTTGATGAATTTAACAAGTGGATGTTTATTGCGAGGTGTAGGCCTACATTTCTTATGAACAAAATTACACAAAACTGTAACATTTTCTTTGACATGTTAAACAATTACTTATAATAATAATACATTTTATTTATATAGCGCTTTTCACAACTCAAAGACGCTTTACAGAATGAGGGAGGGTAGACAAACAAGGACAGGCATTATGTGTCATGGACTACTGTAAGCAGATCCTCAGGTGTTTGTAAAAACACAGATTAATTCAAGACTAATACAAGCCAGGTCAGAAAACCCCAACCTATAGCAAGAAAACATTGTTTTCACAAACCATTTATTGAATGTCAACACAAGTTGAATACAAAATCCACCTACAGTATGGAAACATGGTTAACTGATCTAATTTCTTACCATAACTATGTTTTCTTTAAGGACCCTAGCAATGATTTTTTATGCTAGGACATATTAATACCTCTACTTTAAAAAAACATGTATTTATATCATATAAGCGATGTACTGTAAAAGTGTAATAAGCAAGGAGAAAGTGGAGTTTAACTTTAGTTACATGTGTTTTCCCTATTGGATTTTGCAAAGACCTGTTCTGATCTTTATTTAAGAATTGTTTAAAATACAAATTCTTCTTCAGTGTGACATTGTCCCAAGTGTCATTGTTCCTAACAAACATGTTCAGTTGTTCCCTGGAACACTTGTTGGGCTGGTTATCTTTACTTTGAGTGCTCTTGTCGGGAACACTTGGTGAATAACTGTACATGATCAAGGAAGTGTTTTTCTCTCTTGGTCTAACACAGAATAACACCAAAGGGCTTTCATGTACTGTGCTCCCACTGCCCATGGGGGATGATGTAAATCTGAAACTGTCAGTTTAGAATTAGAATGAAGGATTTAAAGCCATATTTCTTTTGGATAAAATCGATTTCAGCTTGTTGCATTACTGCTCACATCTTTTAGTTTGACTTACAATTAATATCACTTTAATTGTGTTCTTGCTTGTGAATACTTCCTGGTTGTTGAATAAACCTTAGAAAAGTTATATTCTTTATTAAGTGACACACAAACTTAATTATAAAACGGACAAGTCAAATCAAGCAATCTGATTGGTTCTTAGCCGTGATATACTGAGCGTATACCACGGGTAGAATTGTAAATTACTTTTCACAACAAGTCAGTATCCCTCCGCGTCTGAAAAAAACAGTATACCGTTGGGCTGAAAAGCAAACTGCCTGCATTTTGCTTTTCGTACTGGAACAAGAAAGCAGCGGAGAAGTAACGGGGCAGAAGCTGGGCAGAAGCCCTCCTTTTTTACGCAGCGGTCCAGACATAGACATCAAACGGCAAAACATATTCAGTGTGCAGTTCCTTTGGCATTAGGGAAGGGATATCTAGATACTTTTGAAGTTTTAACATAATGAATTGTGCTACTTTTAAAGCAAGCAACGATGTTTTCAAATCTGTAATCAAAGAGGTCCGCAAAAACGCTATCGACCAATCAGATTGCTTGATTTGACTTGTCAGTTTTATAAATATATTTAAATTTCTTCCGTTACGAAACAAACTTACAAAGCATAAAATGGAAACATTTAAGATTAACTTCGACCTCCGGGGGGGTCTTACTATAGTATGTAGGAGTGGATTGAGCAGTTCCTATCTCCAGAAAAAAAAGCACCTAAACTACGACATGCAGAGCTACGTGAAGAGCAGGTAGACCAACTGGAAAAGTAGCACCATTCAAAAGCTTTCTGATGCGGGTCTTGAAACAAAGCAGAGAAATTATGACCGTTAGTGGCCACAGGTGCGAAAGCTCTCTCCAGAGCTACTGGAAGCCCAATCTCGGGGACCGGAGAAAGTGGAGCAATATTCTCGCCACGCCAAGCAACAGCCTCGAACAACCTCAACCTGTACAAGTGTCCACGTAAGCCATGCTACTGATGCTGGACAGTTTTTCAGTGGCTGCACAATAAACAGCAACATACAGATTAATGTAAATAAACAGCCAAATAATGGATCAACGCTCTCTGTCTAATATGTTCGCTTGCTGTTAGTGTTGTTGCATAGCAACCACCTTGCACTATGTTTTGTGCAGAAGGCAACGGAGGGACTATTTTATTTTGAACATCATTATTTACTAATAAAAACTATTTAAATTAGAGTCGGGCCGAACCACGCCCCTTAGCTGTGATATAATGAGCATATACCACGGCCTGTCGTGAGCTATTGCTTAACACTGAATGTATTTCATCATGTTTTCTTTTTGAAAAGCCTTTTTTCTATTTGTACTTCACCCATTAAGCCATTGGTGGTGGGAGTGACTGTGCAGAGACATCATTCATGGATCAAGCAGCCAGATGTCAGTATCTAATATCATCCCATTGGACCTGAAATTCCAGCCTCAGTCTTTTATTACTGTCATTCCAAGTTAAGCCTGCACTGTGGCCCTAGCAGTACCTTCGGTAGGATCAAATTAAAATTAATTCAGTATACAATTAATGCAGTATTTCCACAGTTGCATTGTACAGCTCATCAGACGTTATTCTTTTAAATAAAAAAAGATCTTACTGCAAAAAATGATCAGCTTGAGCTTGCTATTCAGGATTACTGCGATCATCGCTGTTGGATGGAGGAATTAGATAAGTATGCAGCAAAATGAATAACACATACGTTTATAAATTGACAATGAAATTAAGGTGATCATATCCTGCACTGGAAGTAACACCCTTGAACAGTTTTCCCACTCTTTAGGATATTTAGAAAACTATTACTATCCAGAGCTTTACATTTTCCTTATTCTTCCCTCATGAGTGTAGATCATTATTTCATATGTTGACAAGATTGTTCTGCTTCCCACATACTCTTCAATACACCTTAATTGGATTGTGTGTTACATCCTGCAACAGTGTGAATTGTCATATGTGCCTGACATACACTCCAACCTGGAAGATAATATATTAAAGTACAGACACACACTCTCCTGAATACTCTCTTCACTGAGAGAGAACAATCAAATCTTCCATTCAAATTAGAATAACTTGGTAAAAACCGTAGTTATAAAAACATTTATAGACTATTCGGTACCACTTTACAATAAGACTACCCTTATAAAGGATTAATAAAGGGTTTATATTAGCACACACACACACACACACACACACACACACACACACACACACACACACACACACACACACACACACACACACACACACACACACTACACTCCTCTTTTGTTTTCTTTGTGTTCCTTGTGTCTCTTGAATAATAGAAGTGGCTGGATACTTATTGAATTCTCTGATTTACTTCCAGCACTTAGAACAACACTCCCCCTTTCTTCATTCACTCAAACTCCAGCTGCTTGCACTGAGCCTGCAGAGTATTCGCAAACCTTTTTTCCTTTCTTTACTTTACGAGCTCACTCTTTAACCACACTCGACGAGAATCAGACAGACAGGAGGAGCAAGAACTGTCGATAACAAATATATTGCGTGAGGCATTTTAAAATGAGGATATTCTGAAATAATGACTGTTTTACTTGTTTTCTCTGCTTGACTATTTTTCTGAAAATGTTTGTTTTCGTTGCAGTTTGTAGCATTATTGTAATTATTGGGACTTTCATTGCTGAGAAATGCTTTTAAACTGCTGTACCCATTGTCCATGGGGTATTTTTATTCCTGCAAATGTCATGATGTCATTTTTAGTGCATCAGCTACAGAGTAGAAAGTAAGGTATTAACCACAGACTGCTATTGGCCTATATTATTGATTGGTAGGTTGCTCCAATTTTGTGCTGACTCAAATGTCTCAACAAGTATGAGATAAATTCCCAAATGTAAATGTTGTACAGACATTGTACACGTGTGCTGCCACCATTAGTTTGAGATTTTTGGTTTCCAGTTCCAATGAGCTGTACAAAAATAAGGTAACATTCAATATTACTATTAGCCCAACTTTTCTATGAGTACTTGAAAGCATCAAACAATCCTTCTCTGGGAAACATAGAAAAAAACCCTGAATCATTTAGAGGATGATTAAGTTAATACCTCAAAATGTCAAAAGATGTGGCTTCAGAAAATAAAAAACTGCACGGTTTTGAAATCTGATATACTACACATATGTTTTTGTTGTTGTTGTAATTTGTCATTTGTTTAATACTTTTTCTTGTATATGCCTTGTAAACATTCTTTCTTAATAGTTTTTTTAACCGTTTTTATGATCCTTCTATTTTTTTGGTCCTTTTCTTTTTTACAGCTTAATGTGTCTTCCTGTGTTTATGCATGCTCCATTGTACATATAGGAAAATCTTGTTATGTTTAAACCTGCTTGGCAATAAACCTGTTTCTGATTCTGAAAATGTGATTATGATGCACAGGCTGTGTTTATAATTGATGACTCAGTGTGTATCACTTTATGTGTAATTTCTAACTTCACTGGTGTCTTCACTTATGTAAATGTGAGAAGATCTGGATAAACTCTGTGGTCTGTGTAGCTGTTGGTGACCTTCAGGTGCACCAGGCTCTGTAAACACTGCAGCCTGTGACTGTGCAGTCCTCTCTACAGACACGTGTACCAGCAGAGCGCTCAGAAGCAAAGCCTTCTGCTGCTCTCACCCCAGGCGAGCCATTTGTTTCTCCCCTCACACTAGCCTACATCTCACGTCTCTGTTTGGAAGTTCCCAAAGTGATTGAACACATTGCAATATTTTGATAGGACCGCAGCTTGGATATGCAGCTTTTCAAATAACAGATGGACCCGCTGGCTCATTTGAACAAGAGAAATCCCACCAGCTTGCTTGGCTTGAATACAAGTCAACATTCACAGTTATGTTAGTTTGTGCAGCAAACATTTATGTTACCAGAAGGGAAGTTTAGAGAAATCCTGAGGATATGGTGGAGGGTGAGCATATTACCTTTAGTTTTTGGCTTGCAAATCTCAATCCATGCAACCTTTGTTGAGCTTGAGAAGTTTTAGGAATATGTAAATGCAAACATCAATTTCAAAACTCAAATTGTGAGAAAGTGGCATTTACATCAATAGTACGTCACATTCTGAGGGGACCATGAATCTGTACATTATATTTAATTTAGGACCCTTTATCAAAAGCGACTTACAATTTGTGCATTCAACCATGAAGAAACATTTACATAAATAGCATGTGCCATTCTGTAGGGGAATGCAAATCTGTACAAACATTTCCATCAATAGCATCAACATTTATTGAATAACAATGACAGGATATATCTATCATGTGGAACAGTATGAGGGACAGACAGACTTCTTGTACCATAATTAAGTAACATTTGGACGGACTTGTACTTTAATTGAGTATTTCCATTTTATGCTACTTTGTACTTCTAGTCTTCTACTACAATTATGTAATACCTTTAGTTACTTTGCAGATTCTGATTAATTATTTGAAATATAATCAACACTTCAATCAGAATTTAGTTCCACCTGGAGTAAATTCACAAGCTACCGTGCAATATACAAAGTCATTAAAACTAGCTGCACCTTTACCAGCTTTGATGACACTTTAATTATCAATAATACCACATATCATATATATTATTCTGAAATGGACCAATCTGCACAATGAATACTTTTATTTTTGGTACTTGAAGTATATTTTTGATGCCAATGCTTTTACTTGAACAACATTTTGAATGCAGGACTTTTACTTGAAACAGAGTATTCCTACACTCTGGTACTTATACTCTTACTTAAGTACAAGAGTACTTCTCCCACCTCTGATTATGTGTCAATCTGGCACACATTTTATTCTGCATTTCCTCCTACAATCCTAGTGTACAGATATTAATTTAATATTTCTATGGTTACGTCCTAGAAACAAAACTCTTCAAAAGATTATTGAGAGGAATTTTTTTTTTCTACCATAGTGTTTTTTGTAAAACAATAGACTTGTATGTTAGAAAATCCAGTGTCTCTCAAGAAGCCCTCTAAAGGTGCATATAGTAAATGCATTCCTACAGATGTAAGCAACACGGATCAATGACCACATCTGTGTAGTAGGCTGGGACAGTAATACATGCCTCTAAAGTTGAGCTGTAATTGATGGGTTCTGCTGAGAAGCCACAGCAGGCAGCAGCCCTTGGACTCTGCTGATCCAGCTCCTAAACACCGAGAGCCCTGATTGATAAAGATCCAGCAGTGAGGGATTCAGTCGTATGTTAACCCCGGCTGACGTACTGCTTCCATCTCCAACCCTCCGAGGAAAATAATATGATGTTTGTACTTCATGGTCCTTTACTGAATGTGCCAGTCAACTTGCTTGATGGCCTGATTCATTTTATAAATGTTGGCTTACTGATATTTCTCTGAAAGCATAGCCTCATTTTTACTGCCCACTCAGGACTTTTGCTTTCAGAAAGCGTATCTTGTGAAAATAGAAACCCCTTCTCTAGGTTACTGCCTGTCAGTTGTCCAGGAGTGTGTCTGCCAGATCGCAATTTGATTACATTTATTGCCTCTCTTGGGTTTTTTGGGGCGATTGTGTTGCACTGTGAATTCACTGAATTGTAAAAACCTTTTGTTGGTATAATGTGTCTCATTTTCACAATAAGTAATTTGACTATGGACAGGCGCAGACAGGCACATAATGCAACAAAACGAGAATCTTGAGGGGTGTCAGCTCAGAGACAGCAGAGAAAAAACCTCAATGAGAGAAAAGATTTAGCTCTATGGAGAATGGGTGGTTCTAAGGAGGGCCATCAGGGGACAGTGCCCCTCTAACACTGAGCTTGGACCCTCCTGTGGCTCCCCTCAAAAAGAAGATCAATAATAAAGCAGTTTGTGATAATGTTGCAGCAAAGACTGACTAACTTGGGCCAAAGTAACTGAAAATAAGTAACTAAACTAAAATTGTAAGTCATTGACATCAATTCTGTTGATTGAAGGGGACCTATCATGCAAAATGCACTTTTGTACGTCTTTTATACATGAATATGTGTCCCCGGTGTGTCAGGGAACTCTCCAAGTGTCAGAAAACACAACCCTCTCTCTTTTCCTCCGTACCCAAATCTCTAAAAACGGGGCTGCAACGGATCTGATACAGGCTGATCCAGATTTGAAATATCTCCGACGTCAGAAACGAGGAGCTCCGCCTATATGGGCAACCTATCAGGAGGAGACAGCCACAGCCATTGCCATTCGAAAGCGCTGGAGACGCTGTAGTACATATGCCAGGCCTGTAGGTGGCGCTGTAGTCTGCCACAAAAGCAGCGAAGAAGACTTCTCACAGATTCAGCCCTTGCAAAAACAGGGCTACAGAAGAGCAAATAGAGCGAAATGAGGCATGGCTAAAATGCATGATCTGTTTGGTATTTTGAAAAAAAACTTTGCAGACTTGTTTTATATAGGTATGGCCCAACAATATATTATTCAAATATAGCATGATAGGTCCACTTTAAGTAAAAACCATTAATGGTATTTAAAGGTCTCCTATCATGTTATTTGTAGGCATATATTATGGGTCTCAGATATATAAAAAAAAAAAAAAATACACACGTCCCGACGGACCCGATTGTTGTGTCGCCTCATGTCTCCTGCGACNGCCAAAAAATCGCACTGGAACCCCACCGCAAAACTTCAGCTAGCCAAGTAGCACGTACCCACTGCGCATGCCGTGAGTGGCAATAACTGCTCCTTCCAGCAAGCGGCGGTAGTATGTATTCTAATTCCAAGAAGGCAACCGGAAGGCAGACTGCGTGATATATACAAAAACCAAATACGCGTGGGTCGAATTTTCACTCTCGTCCATCACGACTGTTTCACAGAGCGTTTCATAATGAGCTTATAATTCCAGAACATTTTTTATTTCTGCTTTTTGACACACTCTCTCCATGAGGTTAACTCTGAGATGTTAGCGATGCTTGCTATGTAAACAAGACCATTGTCGCGGCTCAATTTCCAGTTCAGTTTGAGTCTCGCAGGAGAGGTTCCCCTAGATTCCACCGGGTCGTCTGCATCGCGTTACGGCTGCGCCGCGGGCGTTCACAGCGATCGCGGCCGACTCTAGTAATGGTGTATTCCCCAGCGCGCTGCGTTACGGCTCGGAGGCATCCAGAAGTTTCTCGGTGCTGGGTCCGTTCAAAATAGATTCAAGTCTATGTTTCGACGCGAGCATTGCAGAGGCGCCGGGCAGGAACTGGGACCGGTCGCATCGGCCCCATCCCAAAATAAACTAATTTTGCAGACCTATCCCTCCATTAGCTTTCAAGTAGGAGGAGAAATGCTCAGCGTTCTCCTCCGGTTTACAGGCTCTGTGTAAATTATATATAGGAATAATAATGATGATGAATGCATTTTTTTACAACTAAAATACAACAACACATCTTTGATTCATGTCGTTTATAATTGGAATATTAAAATTATTATTAACTTTGTCTGTACAAAGTGGCCTGCCCAGGAAATATGCCCAAATCAACAAAAACTGCGAGCCGGCAGGCAAGACGCTCCGCTTCTGAAACGCTTCTGAAACGCCGGAGGAGGCCGGACCAAAACCGCGGCGCAGCCGTGACGCGACGCAAAAGAACCCGGTGGAATCGAGGGGTAAGCTTGGCTATAAACTGCGAAGCGTTTTCAATGAGAAAATCCATACTGAAGTAAGATGGTTTAACGAAATCAAAACACAGTAACTAGGGACAAAACGGTCAACAGAAAGAATTACAGCACAAGCTCACCCTCTGTCATCCGCACTCGACATGAAACAGGCGACCTATACACAAACTACACCCATGTGACAATTAACGGAAGTGCTCAACAAATACAAATAAAAGTGACGTAAACAAATAATAATAATACAAATAATAAACTCAGGCTAAGTAGCATTTTGGCTCGTACAAGCAGCATATTGAGTCCAAAACACGTCGCACATTGTTTCTGATAGCAACCTTTCTGATAGGGCCGTGGGCGTAAAGCCAGTCCACATTTCCGATATTACGTCTTATCGGACGCAAATCTGGATCAGCTCCGTTTTAGCCCTGTTTTTAGAGATTTGGGTACGGAGGAAAAGAGAGAGAGTTTTGTTTTCTTACACTTTGTGAGTTCCCTGACACACCAGGGACACATACTTATGTATAAAAGAAATCAAAAAGTGCATTTTGCATTATAGATCCCCCTTAAAGTTTTTTTTGCACGTTATGAGTTTATACTGAACTAAAATTGTTGTACTCTTGAACATGGTCTTTGTTCACCCTTTTCCCCGATTAAATGTACCCCTCTCCTTTAATAATTGCCAAGCCCCC